AAAAAAGCAGAGAGTAATGCCTATGTATGTTTCGTTGTCTGATTTTTAGCGCAACATGAACAGCAGAACAAGCAAATACCATGTTTCTGTCAAAATTATTCAGAAAAAAGGTTTAAATTCTTCTTCTTTGGTTCCAACACATGCTTTGGATATTTTTCTTTTCAATATTTTGCTGAAAGAAACATAGAAATTGTTTTTCACTGACAGCAAGAGAAATGCTAAAATACTTTTTTTTTTTTGATTGGTTTCATTTCCTCTCCTAAGAAATACAGATATAAATACAATTTAAATCAGTTCCTCGTTAGGTAGGTAACAAAAATAAGGGGCTAATATTACCTTTAAGACAGATCAAATAAAACAAATAAAACAAAAACCTATCAAACAAACCACATGTCATTCTTCCTGCTGTTAGTGGAGGACAGAGTGCTGCTGATCCCATCAGTGTGTAAAATTTAATAATGAAACTGCATTTTAGCTTTGTAAACATGATTTAAATGTGATTCACAAGAAGAGGATTTGAGGTTTCTTGTTCCTGATAGTAAAATGATCATTTTCCACTGCTGTGTTGAAATCAAAAGGTTAAACAACTTAGCAACCATTATTTACTTTGATATTAAATCCCAGTGAAAGGCTAATTATATTAGATCTCTATTTAAGGTTTGTAAAAATATTGCCAGGCAAAGAACAAAAATGTCTTCGTAGGCTGGAATGGATTGTTGCCAAGCAACACTTAAGTGTCTTTGAAAGTTTTCTAGTTGTACAACTATTGTAGCTTCTGGTCTTTTCAAAATAAAATATGCAGCAACAGCTCCACATATTTATCTAATTTCTGTCCTTGTCAAGAGACCACAGTATAAAGACAGAAAGAGAGAAAGACAGGTAGACACACAGGACAATGAGAGGTGATCAGTGCACTGGCAGGGTTGACCATGCAGTGAATACACCCACACCCATACACACCTACACACACGCACACACACAGATGTGACATTGCAGTGACACACAGGTCTGCAGCATGTTCCCCAGAACTGTTTCCTGAGCAGATGGTCTGTGTGTGTCCACTTCTGTGCCGGTGTTTCGATATGTGTATGTGCGTGTGTGTTTGACCTTGACAGTCAAGTTGATATTGCTGCCAAATTCTGACTGAGAGACAAGAGGCCACTATAGGACCATACAAATACACATGGTCACACAAACACATACATACACACGCACACGTTTGACTTTTTTCACCCTGTGCAACATGAGCGATCGACATACTGTGGGCTTTCTCACTTTTTTTATACTGTATACAAACATGGACTGAACCACAAGGTGGCACTGTTCCCCCATCCTTTTGCACAGTGAAAGAGAGAGAGCAAAAAGGCAAGTGTGCATTCTTGTGTGAGTGCATGCATGTGTGTATGTGTGTGTGTGTGTGTGTGTGTGTGTGTGTGTGTTCACGCCTTCTGCAGTGCTGCTCTACCGGCCTCACCTTACTTTTTAACTGACATTGGTGCCTGTTATGGCGCATTAGTCCAGGCATAACTGGTTCCTATATATAAGTACACACGTAGATAAAATAATCAAAGATCACACATGCATTAACAAGCATTCACACACCTAAGAACCCCCCCCCCCCCAAAAAAAATAAATAAAAAAATTACATGGAAATAAGGAGAAGCATCTGCAGTTTCTCTGAAAAGCAGGCTTCCTGCTGAGATTACTTCCTTTTTAAGTTTTGCTCTTAATTCTCAGGAGGTGGTAATAAAATACTGATGAATATTCTAGTTTTACCCCTCTTTATTAAACTGCTTCTTCACTGCTGACTCAGGTCAGACCATGTTAGTTTTCTCAAAACCTTTACAACAAAACTGTTAGACTTTACTAAATGGCATGTGTACATAAATTAATTAAAAACAAAGAAAAAAAAAGATTTTTCAATATAGGCCCCAGCTACTAAACGATTCACTCTGTCAATCACTAAGGTGTCTGTATTCATAAAATGCTTGTAGTACACTAAACGTTTAAATTGACATGTTTTTACCTTATTATTTTAGAGGTGGGTGGAATTTCACTCTTAAGATATTGTCAACTCAAGTAAATGCTGTTGATTTAAAAGAAACTGAAGGCATACAATCAGCAAAAAGTGCACCTCCATATCTGTAACTATGCACAGTTTTGTTATAGGAATATGTATTGCATATTTGTCTTTAAAAAAGGAAGATCTGGGTAGTTGAGAAGCATTAAAACATCAGTTGTGGCTTTCTGTATGCCATATATACATCAAGTTATTTCCTTCCACTCAAGATGGTCACTTCCACTAGGAGGCACAAGTTTACTTAATGCCCAGTCCATGTAAATGAGGTTATTTCAAAAAGCTGATAGGCTTAGGTATCTGTGCATACCCGATACATAACAGATGTGTGTAACCGACTCTGTATGTGTGTGAGTTTGTGTGTGTCTGTATGTGTTTGCAAGACTTGGTGTGTCTTGGAGCCGGAGGCCGGCCAATTCAAAAAGCCATGAATGCGTAAACAATGCGCTCTGCAATTCCCAATCAACACCTCCACACCACCCACGCCTTGTAATCAGACAGAGTGGGAGAAAGAGAGAAAAGACAGAAAAGCCATCACTGGCATGTCTCCATAATCAAAGTTGACAGAGGGGAGAAATAACATACTAATCAATGGTCCTCCACATCCAGTACAGTTCAGGTAATTTCAGTTTACTTATTTGTTTGGTTATTTTTTGTCTTCTTCAGGGGAAACTTGCCACTCTGGCACATTACAAACAATAGAAAAGCCCAAACTGCCAGTGCATAAACACCCAAGCACTCAAACACATAACACAAGAGAAGCTCATTAAACTTATAACATACTGTAAGATGCCCAGATGGCAGACACAGGAAAACACATTTTACTGTACAATGAGAATCAAATGCAGACAAACAGGGTTCCGAAAGTCACCTTAAAAGGAATAGTTGGTGCTGCTAAATGTGCTGAAACTCAAGTTGTTTAAGCATAATCTGTTATTCATTTTATAATACACTCATTTTCTCCTTCTTTCTTTCTTCCCATCTCTCTCTTGTGTTCATCTCCACTGTAAGATATTGTCTAACCATGCTGCCCTCTTCAAGTCAGTTCCATGCCTTTTCGACAACTTCCCTTTACTTAGTTTTTCAATTTTTTTCCCCTCAAGCCATCTTTCTTTCTCCATCTTTTCCATCACCCTTCCTCTCACATACTCTCTGCTGTCAAGGACACAGGCTTCTCAAAGAAGGGGGGGAAAAAATCATATGAATACAATGAATCACTCTTCTCCTTCCACCTTCTTCTCTCTTTCCTACCTCCTCCTCCCTCACTCCCTCCATCTTGTTTGCAAAGATGTCTGAGGTGCTGATTTCCCTTATGCCTGTCAGGGCAGAGCAGTGCTGGGCAACAGCAGTTAAGAGTCACAAAATGTAAATGTATGAATAAGAAAATAAACCGCAACAACAGCGTGGACACAGATACACAGTGTGGTTGACAATCTGTTTGACCATCTGTCAGCCTCACGCACTGACATAGTTGCTTTCTGAACTTGAAAACACTGTGCGAATCTGTGTGCGTCTGTGCAGGTGTGCTGTTAAAGCTGGACCAGTACACCGACTAATTTTAAACAGAACTGGTTATTAAGATGACGCCACTATCCATTTCTGATTTGATGGATTGATAATACAGTTCACTTAATCTTTACCATTTATTTATCTTGCAAATAGTGGTTCTTCAAACTTGAGTAGCCATAGTATAAATTCAATGTGTGTTTAATGTCCTATTATCTTTAGTTGTGTGGCATGATATCTTTTTTTACCACTAAAACAGCAAAACCTATGGGGCAAAAAGCAACTATTGGCAAGAAAATGGCATTACAGTTTACACAAACTCAATATCTGCACAAAATATCCATTTCCTCTTTGTCCTGTTAAAGGCTATCAATCTTTAAAACAGAAATGGAAATTCATACGCTTTTATTGATACTAGACCCATTATCGAGTGTTCTTATTGGCCTGATTCTTTACTGATTTTCTCCATTGACCTGTGATCAGATTTCTTCTTTAAAAAAGCAGACTTACATAGTTTTTCACAACTGTCAATAACACAATATTACCCGAGGCTACACAGAACAGCCCAAGCCTGAAAGCCTGAACAGAAAACTGCCTACAGGTCAGTGCCTTCACCCTGATAAGAGACAGAATTATGAATTCATTGCACTTTCCTCAAACTACAGTATACGATAGAGTAGAAATAAAATGTGCATTGAAAAGCTTTACTGCCAGCAGTAACAATAACTGGACTGTAGCAGGTGGCTGAGGGGAGCACTTGTTTGTAAATGCAGTAGCTGACATTTATTTTTTATCATACCTGTAAATATTAGCTATCTAATTAGCCTGCTGTTCTCTCTGTTACACTTGTATAGAAAACACTCATGAGCTCTGGTAGAACTGGAAAAGATGCTAAAAAGGTGCAAAGGAAGCAGGCAAACGTAACCCTTAATACCGTTTCACTTGTTGTTCAGCTGATTTTCACTTATGTGAAGAAGATTTTGTGTGAGTTATTGTTCTCCCACTGACACAGACAACGTTGCATGCTGGAAGTGGGAAAATAAACATCACGGTATCTAGATTAAGAGGTAGCATGAGCAGCACCCATGCAGCTCTGCTGTTCTGTTTATGCCACACACTATGCGTTATGGTGGGTGGATTTTGATATCTTTGCAAACAAGTGAACCAATTAAAACTGTTTTGCGATGCCCAGCTAGCAGAAATGCATGCTATCAATATAGTGCTGTATTGATAAGCTCAAAAGCAAGGATTCAGATGGATTGGACAACATAAAGCTGGGATCCCTACGGTTGCTAGTTATGTCCAAGGCACTGAGTGGAAGGCTTGTTTCAGCTACTGAACCACAGAAACTGCTCCAGGGAAGCTTTCTTAGCTTAGCTTTCCTCTCCATGCTCAAAATGTGGAAAAGGACTCTAACCTGGCAAAGTCGAGGTCTGCCTCCCTGGACATGGTGATGTTGGTGAGGTTTTGCTGGAGGACAAAAATGTTCCTGCACATTTTCTTGATGCCAGACTCGCTGATCCTCTTGAAGTATTGAGCCCCATTGATCAGAATACAGGAGATCAGATGACCAAGACCTGGTAAGAGATGAGAAAAAAAGAGGCATGAAGGATATGTGATTATATCAGGAAAGATATATTCAATTCTTTTTATTTTTAAGGAAATTTGGGAATAAGAAAGAACATTTTAACAATGTTTTCAGACTCGCAGGTTCTTTGAAAGTTGTTGAAGAGAGCTGTATTTTAAAGGCAGTTACTTAAACGTCACCCTAGGGGGGCTGCTGACCTTCAAAAATATACTGGAACTTGTGTTGCTGCAAGGCGGCCCCCATGGCTTCCTCTATGGCTGAGATGTCCTTGTTCAGTTTGACCACCAGAGGGTCATAGTCCATGCTCTCAACATTAGCCACAATGGCATAATTTCCTTGTTTGGTCAGGGGGATCAGGTAATGGAAACAGTGCACCCTGGATTAAAACAGGGAAAGAAAAGAGAAAATAGAAAATTAAATGCTGTAGATAATTAATAGGTTTTTCTTCTCCAATTTTTTTTACCTTTCGCTGTCTGGAAATTAAAAGTTACATATTCTGCTTTGTCAAGAACATTCTGCCATCCAAATTCTTTGACAACTATGTATTGATATGCCGAAATAAACTATGAACTATGCTGAGTGTCCAACATGAGAACGACAAGGAAAAATGGTGAGTCAGGAAATATGTATGAACTGTATTATTCTCTGTGCTTTGGAGGTTAACATAGTTAGAAGGCACTTTAGCGGGCGGAGAGTGTTCTCATTCCTCAAGCCCCACTAAACCTACTCTAATACTTATAATTTCTACAGAAATCATTCTGTTTATAGAGTACTCATAATATATCCACTTGTACAACTACCACTACATCACTGTTGGATACCAGTCACCTGAGCAAAGTGTTGTAGAGCAGATTGTTGAATATGCTGTGCACTTCTGAGGAGTTTTAAACCTTAAATGGAGCTGCTTATATACTTAATGCCATGTCTAATAAATCTACTAAGGTCAATTGTCCTTTCAAACTATTTAATTTGTAAAAAGCACACTTATGTCTATAACACAGTTTTGTGTATTTTTCCTCGCATATTTTATCTTGAGTGTTTTAGAGGCAGTAGTTAAAGGAAGACTGTTGTACCAGAATGGCAAGAAAACCCCCAGCTATAGCAGAATAACTGGGTTGAGGACCTTGCCAAAGAATTTTTGTATTCACCTTTTCCTAGTCAGATTTTTGAGCCGTTTTTTTTTTTAATGGATTCATAGCTAAATGCCACAAATAAACTAAAATACCAGAAATGCTCTCAAAGTTTTGATTATTGTTATGTAAAAATGTCATTTTAGAGGGATTATTAAGTGGAAATACCGATAATAAGTAAACCAACCCTTTAATCTCAACCTTATCCAAATATTTCCTGCCCATAGTACAAACATCTAATAATACTTTTAGGATTTTAATAGTTAGAGCAGGTGGATTTTGACCTATCCTTTAACAATACATTCTGTTTTTCAGGTTCCCTAAAGACCTATAAATTAGTATGAGGTCTTTGAGGTCCACAGAAAGCTAATTTCGGTCTAGACTTAAAAAGTCAATAGTTTTATAATTCCATAATCACACTGCCCAGAGCTGAAGGGTATAAAATTATATGGGTGAATTTCTCTTCCTCCCTAAGGCAAAGCCAACAACTACACAGCATTTTCAAAGCCTCCATCCGACCTCCTTCTCTCTCTATTCAATCATTTCTCCCACTTAGCCCACTCTAGCTTTCTTCTTTAACCCCCACTCCTACTTTAACTTCACTCATCTCTCTTCCATCTTTTCATCCACCCCCCCACCCACCCCTTCTTCTTTCTTGCTCATGGCTTCATTTAGCTGGTACCACTATCAAGGGAAATTTGCTAGATGGGGAGAGTCAATGGAGTGTAGCATATAGCTAGACATCAGCCTCAGGGAGGGTTTTCTACTGGAATCATCAACAATATTGCATAAGCTACACAATGGTCTAGAGGGAAATAGTAGTACATGGATGGATGGAAGAAATGGGGAAGGATGATGGAGGACTATTAGAGGATGTGGGTGTGAGAAAGTATATGGTGTGGTAAATTAACTTAGATATTGACATTCAAAACACACACTGAAGATACATTTCTGAACTCGTGCATTAAGGGCATGCGTGTGATGCCACTGGTTCTTTTAACTCATCTGATTTAATGACACGTGCTCTGAGCAATGTTGTGTGTAGGAACCAAATACACACGGCTTGAAAGTTTGGGGTAACTCATAACTCGCACTTGTATTCGTTGAATGACCTTGTACAGTAAAAAGGAAATATAACCAAGACATTGACAGACATTTTTAGTAAAATAAACATTTTGTCCTTTAAACTTCACCTTCCTCAAAGAAATGCCCATCTGCAGCAGTCATAGCCTTGCAGACCTTTGGCATTTTGCTGAGGCATTCCAGAGAAATTTGACCCTATGTTTCCCAAAGCGTTTCTCACAAGTTGTATTAGTTTGACAGCTGCTTCTTACATACCATATAATCAAGTTGTCAACATCAATCGGGTTGTGTTCCAGTGACTGTGCAGGCCACACCATAACAGAGACAACAGCATTTGACTCTTTCCTCTTTAAGCAGTTTGGACCTGTGCTTTGGTTCAGTGTTCATTTCGCTGACCAGTAATTTTCGTCACCGAACTTTTATTTTTTTGCCAAAAACAAGACGATAACTAAATAAAATGTAACTGACAATGACGTGTACTGACAAGTTTGTCAACAAATAAATATTTGATGAAAATTATCCTTGAGAGACGAGAGCCAATCAGGACTGAGTAAGTTCTAAATAATTTAGAAAGGTGGGACGAGTTTGGATGCATGCACATTATGCAATAAGGTTAGATGCGCCTATTTGATCAGCCCTTGAGAAACAATACAACTTAGAAACAAACGAAATCGAAAACTTGCTGTCAAAGTGACTGCTTTGGTCACTGTCCTCCTGTTTGGAAACTAGCACCCCCCACCCCAAGTCTATGTTTGTTCGACAATCAGAATCTTCATCTCCTAGTGGCCAGTCTCACATGGATTTGTCTTTGCAAGTTTGTCTTACATTCGCATCCCAAAGCCGGCATCAAGGAGCCACTTCTTCACTGTTCATGGTAAAACATGTGTCTTCTGGATACAAAGCTGCTTGTTGAGTAAGACCAGTAACTCTTTGTTTTCTCAAACAATACACTCTGATGTACTTTTCTTACTTGCTCAGTTGGTTCTCGCTCTGTCTGTTTTTTAACTGCTCTGTTACGAGAGTAGTATACTTCTTCTAAAATCTGGCAATTTACTACTTTGATCTTATTTTAAATGGGGGGAAAAAAGCTTTTGTTTCAAAAACAAAGACATTTAAGTGACCCCAGCCTTTTCAGCGGCAGTATAATTCTGCTTCTTTGTTCAGTGACGCAAATGAATGTTATGAACGTAGTGATTACAGACTTCCTGGGAAGAAGGTGAAGGGGAAGTGCAACACGCACAGTTAGAGTGGCATTATTTGATGTGCTTAAAATAATATTCACATAAAAATATCAGGCAGATAACATGTGCAGGAGGACCTTGATGAGTTGAGGCTCATCATTGCCACATGAATCATTATGGTGGCAGCGTACAGACTTGGAAAACAATGACTGCAGTTGTTTTGAATGATGAATGATGATAGCTGAAGCAATAGAATTTCCCAGTGATATTATTTGTTTTCAAAACATTTTGTCTTCCAAAATCTATTTATGCTAAAAACTCATTACCTTAAGGTGAATACATCACAATGCTCGTATAATTCAATTTGACACAACCTGCTTTTAACTCTGCATTTAGAGTCTAATGCTTTCTGTGTATGCATTGTTTATACTTTTATGACTTGCCTAAAAAAAAAGATCAACTATTATGACCAATTTCTTTATATTAAGTAGGTATTGTAAAAATATTTGTATAAATAAAATAATTAAATATGCTGAATTTTGTCATATTACTGCATAAAGGAGAGACATAAGAGTTGGGCAGTTTCTCCTGCATACCTGACCTCCAGATGCAGCACCAGCAGGCAACGGTCTGCAATATCTTGGAAGCCCCTGGACAGGTCGTTGAGGGTCTGGAGAATCTGCTCCCTGCTGCGTTCACTCTCTCCAACCACCTGGCTGTCTGTTGGGATCATAGAGATGTAGGAAGATGAGAACACACGATAGGCATAGAAAAACTCAATTATTGCAAACAGGGGCAGTTGAAGTGAGTAAAAGGACCATTGTAAATGGTTTCTGCATCCTGTGTTACAGCTATTTGAAAGGCGGTGTGCGTACACTCATTTAACAGGTGCTTTTTAAAACATAGGGGATGAGTCAAGTATTCCGTTAATGTGATTTAATGTCAAAATGTAAAATATGTGCAAAAAAAATAAATAAATGTGTACATTAACAAAGGCACTTGTCTTGCCTTTGTTACTTCATGCTTATTATATTTTGTGGAGATTACCTAGTTCTTATTGAAAAATAATGAATATATTTCTATAACTTTGAACATCACACATTGAACGTCTGCATGCTGGTCGACACACTGCACAGACAAAGGTTAAAACAGGGTTAATCAGTCAGAGATAAACAGTTTTTGAGGCTTTCAATTGTAAAATATGTTTTATTTTGCTCTTAACTGAGTACTATTGATTCACTATTATTGATTCACCCACTAATAGGGAAAACAACAAGTATGATAACCTGTTTAAAAGAGGATGATGTTAAAATAAGAACAAGAGCAAATGAGTTTACTGCACATATTGTATTGGTACCGCAATATATTGTTTTTATTTCACTTTATTGTACTGTGTTGATATTGTATTTGTATTGTTGTTGCAGTGAATTGTATTGTATTTTTACTGTGCTGCCCGTTCCCAGCACTCAAAACAAAACTGAATAAGTACTGTAAGTGGGTAAATGGGTAACATATATGAGGAGAAATCATGCCATTTTAGCTTATATAGATTAGAAAATAACAACAAACTAATCTGATCAAAAAATGAAGGGACCACTCAATCAACACATATCACAAGTCAGTTAAACTTCGGGGACATCGATCTGTCCAGTTAAGAAGCATGAACCATTGTGAATCCATCTCAGCTGCTTTGGTGCAAATCAAAGTGACAAGAGGTGCACTGGAGAAGCAACAACAAGACAATCCCCAAAAAGGGAATGAATTTGCAGGTGGTGGCCACAGACCATTGCTTTCTTCTTATCCCTCCTGACCAGTTTTTCTCTAATTTCGGTTTTTGTCAGTGCCCTGTCACTGCTGGCAGCATTAGAGAGTAATTACAGCCCAGTCAGGTTGCTCATATAGTTTGTTTATTCCAGTCATGGCCCATCCATACCTAGGTCTACTTTGTCTCCCAGCACAGTCTCAAGAATGTGGGTGAGATAGCAGGAGATGGGCTACATGGGTTACATAAGGACAGGTGGACAGGTCCATATTTGGCATCAACCCCACAGCAGGACTGGTATTTGCTCCTTAGTACAAGAAGCAACAGGAGGAGCACTGCTAGAACCTTACAAAATGACCTCCAGCAGGCTACTTGTGCATTGTACTAAACTAGAGTGTCACTCTTTTTACAAAGTTTTAAGGTTTGGAATCTGCTGAAAAGTCCTTGAAAGCTAGGGAAAGGCCTGCCAGCCCGTGGTGTTTTTCTTAAACTGCCCTTGAGCTCCCAAACATTGTCCTAAGATTGTTATTAATGTGTTGTTTTGTTACTCTGCAGTAATAAGCATGTATTCCATTCCATATTGACATTATCAAGTTCTGTAAATAACGTTAGCTCATATGGTACACACATTCGCAAACTCATTAGTTCAGCTTCACACACTTCCTGAGTCCTTCAGCATGTTCCTGTACTTTCTTCCCATTAGTTGTGCTGAGGCAGCAAGAGCATGTGTCACTGCACTGCATTGTAAGCCACACAAAAGACCTGAGTGTGTGTGTGTGTGTGTGTGTGAAAGAGAGAGAACCAGAGAGCATGATGAGTGTATATAAATTCAGCTCAGCATAGATCAATGGCCATAAATTAACAAGGAGAGGAAAAGGAGAGAAATTGGCCCCGTCACTCATATGTAAGTCTATTTGGTCAATGAGGCGAGTGTGTGTGTGTGTGTGTGTGTGTGTGTGTGTGTGTGTGTGTGTGTGTGTGTGTGTGTGTGTGTGTGTGTCCATGAGAGGGTGTTGGTGTGTGTACAAAGAGTGACTGTTGAGCAGGAGAATGCAGGGGTCCACGATCGATGTGCTGCAGTCAAAACCAGCTTCCTGCCCTTCCGAAGGTCACACATGCATGCAAGCTGGTACACATGCATGCATACACACCGCTAAGAACAAAGAAGTTAATAATTAAATATGCTGAATTATGAATATGCAATTAAGTGATGATTATTCTTTCTTCTCCTTGACTCTTTTGAATTATACCACCAAAAAAGCCATGTCTACCTTAACTGTGTTCTCACTAGGCTACATATAGAACGTGTAAAAACAATCTCCAACTGCAATTTCTTCCTTTCAGAAGACTGCTTAGAAATGTATGTTTCAACACAGCCTGAGCTCTCTTAGACAAGCTTTCTTGTAGTTTCTGTAAGTGTTCTTCAGGAATAATTCTCTAGGCTTCTTGAAGTACATTCAAAGTTATTGTTTGGACTTTGTTCCAGTTTTGCTCTGTTCTTTGTTTTAGCTCTGGGGAGGCCAATCCATGACCAACAGTGTTCCACTGTGTTCTTTTGCACTGGAAGTGTATTTGGCATCTCTGTCATGCTGAAAATTGAAGCCACTACCAGTCAGATACTATTACATGATGGATCAAAAATATGACAGTACTGTTCTGTGTTTATAATTCCATCAATTTTGACAAGATCGCCAACATCACTGGCTGAAATGCATCCCAAAAACACGACTCCACTGTGTTTTACAGATGGCTGTAGACACTCATTGTTGTACTTCTCCTGACTTCTACCGCACATACCGAAGACAATTTGAAACCAAAATCTACAATTTGGATTCATTACTCTATAAGAACTGCTGGCACTGACTTTCAGTCCAGCCCTTACCTTAGCTTTCTCTCCCTCCTTCCTTTGTTAAGAATGGCTTCTTGACAGCCACCCTTAAACTAAGACCATGGCTGATGAGGCTTCAGTGAACAGTAGATAGACTGAAGGGCCAGATGCATCTCTCAGGTCCTATGTCAACTCTTTGCTGGAAATTTGCCTATTTCTTAAGAATCTTACATCACTTTAACATATTGCTAATCTGCTGTACTTTTCAAGCCTAAAACTTCTTTTGTTGGCATCCACTCATCTAGCTTCCTCAAATTTATTAAGGACACAAGACACATCTTGCTGGAATATATAAGTTTTTGGCTAATAGCGCTTTGGAAAACACCTTGTTGCAAAAAGATAATTCTATGTCTATTGATTGATTGACTGATCGCTTTATTGGCCATATGCAGGTTGCCCCGCAGAGGAATAGGACCCCCCCCCCCCCAACTTACACACACAACAAAGACATCACATGGGAATACAGTCGGAGATCGGCAGCGTTGCAGAGAAAACACTGAAAAATTACACAACAATGGGAAAAAGTACAAGAGGAAAAAAAGAGACCTCTTCTCACGCTGGGCACCTATGGGAGGACAACATGAGAACAGGAAACAAAAAAAACTCCTCTGCACAGAGAGCACATTAATGTCCACATCACAACATTATTGTGTAGTCTAGTGTTTTTGCAACAAGATATTTAGTAACAAAGTGCCTAAAATGCAATTTAAAATTGTTTTATTTGCTAAGTTGACTGTTATGTGTAGAGAACAATGGTTCATCCCTTGTTGTTTGACTGAAAGAACACCATATTCATCTGAATATGGTATGGTACAAGGACTGGACTGTAAATTAATGAAAAAAGAGCCAATATATAAAAAAGTGTGTGACCTCCAGAGAGTGCTCAAGAGCACTTAAAACTACAAACTTTCACTCCTTTAAAGCAAAATATAAAGAAATGAGGGGTGATGCAAGACTTTTGCACAATCCTATATTCTTGATTCTCTCTGTATACTTAAATCCAAAAAACTCTATTTTGCTTTGCATTGGTTGTGCTTTTGTGTCCTCCTCAGTGCACATTTTGTATGCATTGTAGTTACTTTAATTTTATCTCTGAGAAAATGAGAAAGCATTGCTCCGAGCAAACAGCAGTCAGGTATACGCCATGACCGTCCAATCAGAAAAGCAAACACGGTCAGGGCTGTGATGTGACATTGGTGACAGTTGCTCTTATGGCCTGTGTACCTGACATACAGAGATAACAGCTTGGAATTATGTTTCTTATTAAAGGTCTGCAAGTGATGAACGTTCTGGATGTATGAACTAACAGTATGGTTAGTTCAGCTAAAATAATTCTGGTGTACAGCCCCTACAGGCAGTTAATAGTAATAAATAATTATGTAGCATGGTAGACTTCTACTAAAAATGTATTTTTGTTACTTTGTTACTTTTACTTTGAATTGGCCTAAGAAACCAAAACCTGATTTCAGTAAGTGGACTACTTTACACATTAATTATGCTCAACTTTGTTTGTTTAAATGGCAATCAGCATCAGTGTTACTATATGTGATGACAATAATTTAATATTTAATAATCTATAATATCGAATTGCCCCTCACCCCGCAGGGGGTGGTTGTGGGGTGGGGTCTTGTGGCTTAGATCTTCAGCTGAGAGATACCAATATTAATCTAGCTAAGAGTCAACGGAACAACAAACAAGATTGCTTTTAATGAAAGAAAAACATTGATTTCTCAAGAGAGTAGAGGATATTACATTAATTATTTTCACCTGATTGTGTGAAGCTGATGCTGTTCACACTCCCTGGTCAACTTTGAGATCATTAATAGATACAGAACCCACCATTAAAACACAATACTGTCTCCTAAAATAAAAAAGCACAATTTTAAGACAAAAACGTTTTAAAGCTTCTGCCAAAAGACTTAAATATAGACTAATTTTCTCTGAGTGCGTCTATCTCTTTCTCTCTCTGTAGTTACAGGTGCGAGAGAGCCAAAGCCTTGCGAATGCTCTGCCTGTGGGAGTATTTCCCACTAACTGTCTGTATATGTGCAGGAATTGACTCGGAGGCTT